AGGATCAATCAGTTAGCTTATTAAAGCACTAACATATTCAAATGATGCTGCTGCTTGTGTGTGTGTGTGTGTGTGTGTGTGTGTGTGTGTGTGTGTTTTTCCCTCTCATGAAGGCCACACAATAGATCAGCAAACCAATAGAAAGACTGAAGGTCCCTGCAGACCCAAACGATATACAGCCTCCTCAACTTATACTGATGCCAGTCATCACTGCAACACACACAACAACACCTTTAGACACTGTACTGTGGATTTACACTGTTTGAATACAGTATGCATATGTTAAAAACATTGGAGAGATTTACACGAATATATTTGTAATAGCTTACTTTTACTGTTTTTAGTACATAGTATGTATAAAGTGCATAGTCTTTTCAGTACCCATAGGTCCTGGGATGATCTATTAACCATAGCCACCAGTTGAACTAGAGGAATGCAGTATGCAGTATACAGTGTGTACTGTACAGTTTGCAGTACACTAGTGTTCCATTTAGTACACAGCCAAAGTGTTTAAGAATGATCTAATGTTACAGTTAAGGTGACTGACAGGTTGTGTCACTCACAAGAGCGCCTGTAGAACACAAGCGAACGGCGTGACTCCGATCCCTCCCGCCACACACAGGCTGACCTCATAATTAAACACCTCCTCTGACGGGCTGCCAAACGGACCATCCACGTGCACTCTGGGGTGGGACAAGAAAGCAGAACAACCAATGAGATTAGAGATGCTGCATGTGGGCAGAAAAACGCACTTCCATACTACTCATGCTATTTCAACAGTATGCAAACTGTGCATAGTACGTTACTGCAATATGCAATACTCTAGAATTCCATTCCAAACATAACTAATGTAATACTAGTATACTAATTTCTGCCTACTGCACAGTACACAACTAACAAAATATGTTCTAAGGGGCCGTTGCCGTTCACACGTAATGAGTTTTTCCATTCGAATGCGCTACTTTTTCATTATTTCCAATGGACCTGTATGATCGTTGCGTTCACGTCTTTTGCAGTGTCTCACACATGAGTGCCACATTAAGACACCGTGTCAAGTTAAAAGAATTTAATTTTATCAATGTCAGTTCCAAAACAGTAGACCAATCAGAAGACCCCGGAGGCGGGGCAAGCGTTGTGAGTTTTTGTTTACAGTAGCAAGTTGGCATGGCAACTGTTTTATTTGACGGCAACATGGCGGAGGCAGCATTCTGCACTGCATTTTTTTTTTATTCCTTCTCTCATTTTTAGATGCGAAGATGAGTTCTGTGTGAATGGCCCCTAAGAACCTTTTGCAAACGTTCTTAGAGGCCGATATGAAAGCATTAAGCTATGAAAATGTTGTTTTTGGAACATTCAAAATGTCCAAGACATTCCATTTTATCCTTTTGCAAACATTATGGGAACGTTACTTTTGAATTTTCTCTGAACATTCTGAAACTAGTAGCAACATTAGTTTTTTTCGATTGCTAAATGACAGTGGGCACAACTGGAGCTACATGTGCAAAACTCTAACTACAGTCTGCACAGCAGCAGTTCATGTGGACCAAACTCTAGTTCGTTTTTCATTGCTTGAACACAGTTTTCAAAACTCTACACACTTATCCCATGACTTTACCCACAACCTGCACAACACTGTGGATTTACAGCACTTTGTTCAAATGCTAACACACTGCTGTCAAAACTGTGAACCACACATTCAAAACAGAATAGATTTCAGCCTTGTGCCTTTCAAACACTGCTGATTGCAATTTCAGCTGAAAGGCTAAGCAGGTGTCTTTAAATCATGTGAAAGAATGTCACTCTTTTCTTTGAAGAAAATAGGACTTTGTATGAAGTCACTGAAATTGTTCAAACTGTAAAGATGAAAAGTTTGTATTTTCTGTATTGGTGTTTGATGCTAGTGTTTTTACTCTCAGTGTGTTCTGAGTGACAGTGTGTGTTATCTCAGTGAGGGTTGTGCATAGTGTTTGGCTGCACTGAGCCTGTTTTGAGCCATGTGTTAAGAGTTGTGTTGCTTGGAATGAGTTTTGCAGGTGATGTGAACTGTTTAGCTCAGGTGACTGTTGGTAGTGCAGACTGTAGTTAGAGTTTTGCACATGTAGCTCCAGTTGTGCCCACTGTCATTTAGCAATCGAAAAAAACTGTAAAAAAAAAATGTTAGACGAACATTAGAATGTTCGACGAAACTAAAACGTTTCAGAAAAATCATTCCATGAACAATGTAAATGATGTTTTGAGAGCATTATTAAAGACCAAATAACTTTTAAAAAATGTTATGTTACTGGAAGAACTAGAGAACCTTGCCAGAACGTTCTGAGGACGTTCCTTGTTAGCTGGGTATATACTTTTTTTTTTTTTTTTTTTAAGTATGTGAAATGATATATGGTTATTTTGCATTCTAAATCCAAATTCATGTAAAATCTCTTAATGGTCCAATCAAATAACGAGCAAAAAAGTTTTTTGCATTGCATTGTTGGATACAGTATTCTGTGCACTGTGCTCTAGCTGCATACTGCACATTTTGACGAATGTAGTAGGTCATTTGGGTATTACATGGAGAGATTTAGCATATTATGCACAGTATACATTCTGAAACATTAGTACAGGTAGTATGCTATTACAAACAGATCAACGACAACCACCCCACCAATCAGAAAATACTATTCGTGCTACAGCCACTGAAGGTTTTCCATTGATAAAACAAGACAGTCACAGTAACAAAGAAACACACACACACAGATAAGTCAATTGCACACGGCAACAGAAAAGAAACACACAAACACACACACAGGATGAGGATGTGCAGTCATTTCCCCCACTGTACACACACTGATCCACTGTAAAAACACTTTTATGTAAGGAAATGATGTCATTCGTTCTGATTGGACAGCAGGGCTTTTTAAAGCCTGTCACCTGACACCCCGCCCGCACAACGCTGGAAAACGGTTGTCTTGCCAGGAAATGATGCGGTCAGAGGGTCGTGACATTTCACCTCCTAGTAAACTGAGGGATCATGACCTTCATTAACACTGTTCCCACAACGCAGCAGACTTACGTGGGATATCTCCTCTGTTGCATCATGGGAAGGATCTCGGCGCTGTTCGACTGTTGAAGCAGCAGCTGAGAAAATCTCGCTGAGAAAGAACATAGACAAAAGAAAATCAACAACATATGTACAAACAAAAACCAGCAACTATATGTTTAGAAAATGTGTTCTGGGTGATTGTTACCACATTGCTATTCCAAATGTTTTTAGCATATTTTTAAAATAAACAAAAAGGAAATTGTGACTTTTAATCTCACAATTCTGACTTTTTACCCCATAATTCTGATTTTTTTAACTTGCAATTGTGAGTTTACATCTCACAATTCTCACTTTCTTTCTCGCAATTGCGAGTTTGTGCCTCGCAATTTCTGGCAATTGCGAGGAAAAAAAGAGAATTGTGAGATAAAATGTTGCAATTACCTTTTTTGTTTTTTATTCAGTGGCAGAAACAGGCTTCCATATGCATGAATTTGTTACGGGTTTCTCTTGATAAGTAGTTGCTAATTTGTTCTGGGTGGTTTTTAAGACACTGCTATACAGTCACTAGAGTATTTTAGATGGTTGTTAGTGCTTTGCTATGTGGTCACTTAGATATACAGTTGCTAGCGTGCTGCCAGGCAGTTTCTTTATCACCTGTTTTATCACTCACTAAATGTGTGTGTATTTGCATTGTGTATTTCTTTTGTTAAGTGTGTTTTTCTTCCAGGAACTAGTATTTCTAAAGCATGACATAATGGAAAGTGTTATGACACAAGACTGAGCAAATAAAAATGTGTGCGTAAGAGTGCGTTTTAATCCAAACTTCACACATTCTGACAGAAACCTTTGAACTAGATTATATAGATCACAGGCTCTTTTATTTATAATGCGTGTGTGTGTGTGTGTGTGTGTGTGTGTGTCTGTGTGTCTGTGTGTGTGTGTGTGTGCGTGTGTGTGTGTGTGTGCGTGTACTCACAGGTCCAGTCTCCCTGCACTCTGAGATGAATACCAAATGTTTGATTCTTCACTGTTGGACACTGAGGAACACAGTCAAACACACACAGAGTGCAGGGATTGAGGGTGAGGATCAGGCACAATCATGCATTAAAGGAAACAGACCCCTGCGGGTAGAAAGTCTCTAAGTAAAGTCTATGAGTGGGTAACAAAGTTTTACTTGGCAGAGAATGCAAACGTTTTAAGTGTGTAAGTGTGGAGAAGTTTATTGCTAAAATTTGCATGTTTCAAAAATGCTTTCTAATGGAAACCTTTACATGAGCCATCGTGGAATGTTTTGTTTGAAAGAGAGTGCAATTTGATACTTTAACAAACTTCAACAGCATTACATCATTGAAAATGCCTTCAGCGCTGTTTATGAAGAATGTTCATATGCTGCTTTCAGGTCCTGCTTGTGCATCTGGAAATCATAACTATGATGCGCACTCAGAATAATAACATTCGTAATCTATAATTTGCTAGTCACTTTGAATAAAAAACATGTCAGCGTGCAATTAAAATATGATTACAACCAATACCAATTAGCCATGATTCTTTCATCGACGCACCCAAGTTGGCGCCTAAATAAATTCCTGAGTTTCCCACTGGTAATTATGACATTGCGGTGATATTCATGTGCATTTATTTCATGAGTACGATCATGACTTGAATGCAGTAATACACACAAACGGACTCACTGTGGTAAGAGTAAAGGGATGGTTTTCAAATGACGACACACTCGGGGAAAACAATTGTGCCGATCAATATTTTTTGGAAACTTTTATTTTTCAGGATTCTCTGATGAACAGAAAGTTCAAAAGAACAGCATTTATTTGAAATAGAAATCTTTTGTAACATTATAATTGTCTCTACTGTCACTTTTGAGCAATTTAATGTATCCTTCTAAAAAAAAAAAAAAAACTGACCCCGAGCTTTTGAATTATATAGCACAGTAGACTGAACTCTTTCATTTAAAAAGAGCAAGGAAAGTCCTGATTTTCATTGTATTTCCCCTGTAAAAATTCTAAACGCTTTGTAAACAAACTTTAATGTAACTGTGTGGAGGCGGGGCTCACCTGTCCAGGGCGGGGCTTAAAGCCGCTCTTCAGCATGCGCAATTCTACAACATCGCATGGATGACTAACGACAGAAACTATGGTAACAGGAGCAGTGCTGCTTCTTATGAAACGATACAACCACTCGGCACAGTACAGGCAGAGAGGAGCAGAGACCCACAACCACGTCTAAAACACACACACTGATAATCAAATATACATGTACATATAAAAACAACAACATGAAAGACACAATTATTTAATCATATTTAATCAGACAGACAGACCTGAGGAAAATGGGGTTGAAAATGAGCCTCTTCTTGACAAACTGTCTGTGGTGCACCTGAAGACTCCGCCCCCTTCTCTCCTGCTGCTCTGTGATTGGTCCATGAACTGAGATTGTTGTGCATGCAGCCAGGTGGGTGGGTCTCCACGTTTGACTGATACTTTAAAGCTCCCCTATTGGACAGAGAGGCGTCAATCATATCACATAAAGCATACAAGTAAAAAAACATCCCAATTTGCATAGAACTTCCAACAGATCATCATGAGTTTTTAATTCATTTGACAAAAAATAGCTTAGTCTTGAATATCTCTGCTCTCAACTACTAGAAATATGGAAATAACTTTTAACGATCCTTCTGATCACATGCAAAACTTGCTTGTTTTCCAGCGTAAATGTAAAGATCCTTAAACAAGATACATTTACTTGAGAAGTAATATAACAATTCTTGTTTTCTGAGAAGTTGCTGAGAAGTGAGTTTATGATTAAAAAGAACAAATATCTGCCAATGGACTTAGGAAAAGCAACATAATTCAAAAGGAAAACAAGTTTTCATTCCCCACTGAGAGATATTTGTTCTTATTTTAACCAAATTCACTTGATTTTGTTCAATTTCTCAGAATACAAGACTTCATATCTTCGTTTTGCAACTCAAGTAAATGTATCTTGATTTAATGGTTTAGATATTTGCACTGGAAAACAAGATAATCAATACTAAAGAAGATAAAAATTTTTAGCAATACATGTAACATTTAATGCCATGACTTTATGAATTTAAGACTTACTGCTCTGATTTAAGACCTTTTTAATGCCTTAATTTTTGAAAGGGCGAATTAAGACTTTTTAAGACCTTTTTAAGACCAACAGAAACCCTGTTTATTAAAAAAATAAAAATAAATAAATCACAATTTCATTTTTTTTTTAAATCATACAAATTAATTTTGCTTAATATTTTATGCTTGACATTTGTTGAGAAAAACACCCTCTCAAACTTTCCTTTCACAACGCAGTGGATTGTGGGTAATAATAGCACACAAAAAGTATGCATCAAGTACACATACTGTAGAAATAGCACACCATTCATGCAGCTCTTACATAATAATCTTAATGCATATTTACACTAATTCTAATCTTGCATACTACTTAAAATGGACAGTATGCAAACTGGGATTTTTTTCTGTACAAATGAATGACAATATTTTTACAATCTTGTTTGTATGTGTTTGAAGTAAATACACTGATAAACTCACCCCGCTACGTGGACCATCAGAATAACATAGAACACGATGAAGAGGTTGTGAGTGTACCAGAATATCTCGTAGCTTGAGACTCTGAGAAAAACAGGAGAGCGAGATAAAAGAACATGTAGCACAGCATTCATGTGTCTTAGATTGAACGAGATGCTCTTGAAGTGTCCTAAAGTGAACTAAAGCACCTCAATTATAGCAGGACAATGGAGAGGTGAAGCCCATCGGCCCCAGATCAATCAGAGGGGAAGAACCCCTCCAGCTAGTCTTGGAAATTACAGTCGAGTGTGTGTGTGTGTGTGTGTGTGTGTGTGTGTGTGTGTGTGAGTGTGTGAGTGTGTGTGTGTACCAGTAACTCCAGGAACTGAGAGAAGAGCCAACAAAATCATGAGTTCTCAACAAGGTTATGCTGTATATAACATATTTTGTCAAATTAAATAAAGCTGAAATAAGATAAAATATAAATATAATTTCCTTGCCAACAAACTGAAAAAAAATTGTTGAAGTACTATAATTACTAGCTGTAAATAAATAAAAATTTAAACTAAACTAAAACTGAAATAAAAATAAATTAAACCCAAACAGTAAGATAAAAAAAATAAAAAGTGACAAGCACATAGCAAAAAAAAATCTGAAAATAAAAAAAGCTAATTCAAAATATTAATATAAACAATAATAGCATATAAATAATACTAATATAACACTTAAACCTAAAAACAAATTAGAAATGATGCCTTGGCAACTAACTAAAATAAGTTTAAGTACTAAAATTACTAACTGTAAAAAAATAAAACAATAAATATAACTCAAACAAAAAATAAATGAAACCTAAATAATAATATAAAAAATATTAATAATAAAAATGACAAAAGTGCATATTACTACAATTAAAATGAAAATTTAAAATATAAGCAATTTAAAATATTAATACAATTATATTTAGAATTTTTTTATGTTTAGAAATTAGTTGTGTGAAATAACTTTAAATATTCAATTAAAGAGATATTTAAAGGGGTCCTATTATGCTTTTTCACTTTAGTCTGTAATGTTGCTGTTTGAGCATAAAAAAGATCTGCAAAGTTACAAAGCTCAAAAAGCTCAAAAAAAGGAGATATTTTATTTAACAGAAATCACTTTTCAAAAACTACAACGAACGACTCGTTTGGACTACAATGCATATTTCCCGGGAAAAATTTGTGATATCACAAATATCGACGAATGGGATGAGACGCAGTATTTACACTGATGCTTGCAGCAGGCGGCTATGGTAAGGGGCGTGACATTTTCCGACCAGGCGCCCGAGTGCTGCCAATCACAGCACACACTGGCCCAGCTAACCAATCACAGCACATTTTGTATTTCAGAAGGCGGGCCTTCATTTGATACAGGAACTATTCGAGCCGTCCAGCCCGGGGTCGTCACATGTGGTTGCCGCCGGCTGCGCCGTTCTCAAGCCCGTCCGCCTCCTCTCACTCTAGCACGCCATGTGTGACGCTGTGAAAGCGAAACTACTTTGTTTGACCTTCCAAAAGAGGACACGATTAAATTGTATTTACAACACTGTTCCAGAACAGTTCAACCCAAATATTCAGATGTGTGCAGCACATTTTATGGAGGAATAAAAAAGATCTGCAAAGTTACAAAGCTCAAAGTCCACTTCAAAAGGAGATTTTTTATTTAACAGAAATCACTTTTCAAAAACTACAACGAACGACTCGTTTGGACTACAATGCATATTTCCCGGGAAAAATTTGTGATATCACAAATATCGACGAATGGGATGAGACGCAGTATTTACACTGATGCTTGCAGCAGGCGGCTATGGTAAGGGGCGTGACATTTTCCGACCAGGCGCCCGAGTGCTGCCAATCACAGCACACACTGGCCCAGCTAACCAATCACAGCACATTCTGGCCCAGCTAACCAATCACAGCACACACTGGCCCAGCTAACCAATCACAGCACACACTG